GTATGAAAAAAAAAATACCAGTATCTTTCCCGCCATTTGTAAACGCTATAACCTTCACGTAAACCAATTAATTTACACGTATTGGGATTTTTTTTTAGCAAGAAACATTTTGGCTGAAATTTATGACGAAATTTGATTTTTACATTTTTGTACTGGACATGTTTTTATAGCAAAAAGTCCAAAAATATAGTTTTTTTTTCTCAAAATTGTCAGCCTTTTTTTTTATAGCGCAAAAAATAAAAAACGCAAAGGCGATCAAATACCCCCAAAAGAAGCTCAATTCGTGGGGAAAAAAAAGGATGTAAATTTAATTTGGGTGCAGTGTTGCATGACCGTGCAATTGTCAGTTAAAGTAACACATCGCTGTAACACAAACCGCTTCCTGACCGCCCTATAGCAGAAACACTGCTACAGGGCGGCATGGGTGCGCAAAATCACACACACACATATATATATGATTTGCGCGCCCGTGATTTTCACGCCCCTCCCAGATAGCGTCAGATTGCCCGTCAGTACACCAATAATCACATTTAACCACTTCACATTAGTATAGCATCCCCAAAAACGCAGCGTTAGCGGGATCAGCCCCGGCACCTGCCAGCATCGCGTTTAACCCCTACGCTAACCCCCCCCCCCCAGCAAGTGCAGTGTCAGTAGATTACTGTCACTTGATACATTGCACACAAAACCGCAGTGTTGGCAGAATCAGGCCTGATCTCTGTTAGCACTTTATCTGTAAATTTTGAGGGCTCTCATATACAGCAGAGTGCCAGTACTAGTGCCGCGCTACCTTTTGGTGAACTGGCGAGTACTAGTGGCCTAGTATATCCTGGTCTTTCATATACCTCTTAGATTGTAAGCTCCCAAGATCAGGGCCCTCCTAACCCTCTTGTATTGAACTGTATTGTTGCTGTATTGTCTCCCGTTATACTGTAAAGCGCTGAGCAAACTGTTGGCGCCATATAAATCCTGTATAATAATAATACCAGCACTGCAGTATGACTTGGTGACGTGGTGAGTCCCATAAGTCCAGTACAAGCCGGTGCGGTGGCGAGCACAAGTATTGTCCCGCAGCCACCAAGAATTCGCACACAGTCCCATAGAGCCCCTAATATCCTTCCGGATGTGCTTGCAAATCCCGATTGACAGCCCACAAATTCTGCAGCACCCGTACTTCCCCCATTCACTGCCCAACCCGGAATTCAGGTGGAAATAGCAAATTTAACTACTCCCCTTGATTTTTGGAGCTGTTTTTCACAGAATATCTGTATGCGTTGATTGTGGATCAAAGCAATTTATATACACAACAATTTATCACCGCCAACCCAAATTCAAACCTTACCAGACTAGTCGCATGGAAACTCATTACGGTTTCCAAATTTACATTTTTTTGGGGCCTAACCCTCAACATGGGCATTACTAAAAGAAATGAATTGCGGTTGTATTGGTCCACAGACCCGATTCATCATATGCCCGTGTTCTCTGCTGCCATGGCCAGGCATAGATATGAGAGTATAAAGTGTTTTATGCATTTCAACAACAATACACTCTGTCGTCCTTGGGGTGACCCTGAATTTGATTGGCTCCACAAAATTCAGCCCCTCGCAAATCACCTTAACCAAAAATTTGCAGATGTCTATACTCCCCAGCAAAACATTTGCGTTGATGAATCCCTCATTAATTTTTCTGGCCGCCTTGCATTCAAACAATTTCTCCCCAGCAAGCGTGCCAGATATGGGGTCAAGATGTAGAAGACCTGTGAGAGGACAACAGGCTATATTTATAAGTTTAGGATTTACGAGGAAAAAGATAGTCACGTGGAGCCCCCCGGATGCCCAGACTACATGGGGAGCGGTGGCAAGTTAGTTTGGGACTTGGTGTCATCCTTTTTCCATATGGGGTACCACTTATACGTGGACAATTTTTATTCAAGCGTGCCATTATTTAGACATTTGTTCACTCTTGGAACTGGTGCTTGTGGCAAAGTGTGACCTATTGTGTGCCCACCATTAGAAGTGGGTGGATGCAGGGCGGTATATTCTAATGGTGGGCATACCACACACTATGTTTGGTATCTATTTACTCGGCATACCATCATCTTTTATATCTAACCAAATAATTGGCCAATATATTGTGTTTTTGTGCATTAAAAGTAAAAAAAAAAATTTTTTTTTTTTAAATTGCTTTTGAAAAATCGCTGCGCGAGTACTATGTGCCATAAAAAATTGTAGTACCCACCATTTTATTCACTAGGTTGTCTGCTTTAAAAAAAATATATAATGTTTGGGGGTTTAAATTAATTTCCTAGCAAAAAATACCGATTTTTTTCATGTGAACAAAAAGTGTCAGAAAAGGCTTGGTCTTCAGGTGGTTAGAAGAGTGAGTGATGTGTGGCATAAACTTCTAATGCTGGGCATAAAACGCCCCCACCCCCCAAAATGACCCCTTTTTGGAAAGTAGATACCCCAAACTATTTGCGGAGAGGCATGTTGACTCAATAGAAGAATTTTTTTTTTACCACAAGTTTTTGGAAAATGACAAAAATATTTTTTTTTTTTTACACAAAATTGTCACTTAAATGATTTACTGCTCACACATGCCATGGGTATATGTGGGATTACTCCCCAAAATACATTCTGCTACTTCTCCCGAGCATGGGGGTACCACATGTGAGAGTCTTTTTGGCAGTCTAGCCAAGTACAGGACCCCAAAATCCAATAAGCACCTTCAGGCTTTTAAAGGACTTTATTTCCTCATTACACTTCCAGACTACCTATCACAGTTTCGAAGGCCCTGAAATGCCAGGATAGCACCCCCCCCCCCCAAAATGACCCCTTTTTGGAATGTAGACACCCCAAGGAATTTGATAAGAAGCATGGTGAGTATTTTGCAGATCTCATTTGTTGCCACAAGGTTTTGTAAAATGAAGAAAAAAAACAAAAACATATTTTTTCTATTTTTTTTTTTCTATTTCAAAACCTTGTGAGAAAAAATTAGATCTGTAAAATACTCACCATGCCTCTTTTTAAATTCCTTGTGGTGTCTGCTTTCCAGAAAGGGGTTATTGGGGGGGGGCTATCCTGGCATGTCAAGGCCTTCAAAACTGTGATAGGGTATTCAGGAAGTGAAATGAGGAAGTTAAGCACCTTAAGGCTTTCAAAGTGGTCATTGGATTTCAGGCTCCTGTATGTGGCTAGGCTCCCAAAAGTCTCACACATGTGGTATCCCCATACTCGGTAGTAGTAGCAGAATGTATTTTGGGGTGTAATACCACATATACCCATGGCTTGTGCGAGAAATAATTTAAATGACAACTTTGTGTAAAAATAAAAAATGTTTTTGTCATTTTCCAGAAACGTGTGAAAAAAAATAAATCTTCCATGGACTCAATATGCCTCTCAGCAGATAGATTAGGGTGTCTACTTTCCAAAAAGGGTAATTTGAGGGTGTTTGTACTATCCTGGTATTTTAGCACCTCAAGAAATGTGATGAGCAGTCAGAAAGTAAAAGCTGTGTAAATTCCATTATCTATACCATAGTTTGTAGACGCTATAACTTTCACACAAAGCAATAAATATACACTTACTGGGATTTTCTTAACCGAAAACATGTAGCAGAATAAATTTTGGCCTAAATTTATGATGAAATTTTAGTTTTTTTGGATATTTTTTATGACCGAAATGAGAAAATTGTTTTTTTTTTTAAAAAAAAAAATTTTTCTTCAAAAATTTTTATAGCGCCAAAAATAAAAAGTGCACAGGTGATCAAATACCAACAAAAGAAAGCTCTATTTGTGTGAAAAAGGACATAAATTTAATTTATGTACCGTATTGCATGACCACGCAATTGTCCGTTAAACTAGCGCAGCGCTGTATAGCAAAAAAATGGCGTAAATTGCAGTATCTATACCATAGTTTGTAGACGCTATAACGTTCACACAAAGCAATCAATATACACTTATTGGGATTTTTTTCTACCAAAAACATGGAGCAGAATACATTTTTACCTAAATTTATAACTAACTTTGAGTTTACTATATATTTTTTATAGCTGAAAGTAAAAAATATTGTTTTTCTTAAAAATTTTCGGTCTTTTTTTGTTTATAGCGTGAAAAATATAAAAAGCGCACAGGTGATTAAATACCACCGAAAGAAAGCTCTATTTGTGTGGGAAAAAAAGGATGTAAATTTCGTTTGAGTGCAGCATTGCATGACCGCGCAATTATCAGTTGAATTAGTGCAGCGCCGAGTAGCAAAAAGAGACCTGGTCATTAAGGGGGCAAATCCTCAGGAGTGCAAGTAGTTAAAATGATAAAAAAGTGAGCACTTTCAATAAAAAAGCAGCTGAGGCACACAGGATAACCAAAAAATGCTCACATGAAAATAAAATAAAAGTGCATCCTTCCTACACTGCACTATTTATGTGCACTTCTGGTTAGTGTGCATTGTTACCCTAGGTCACCACAATTGGGACTTTTTTTGATCACTTTTTATTGTGTCACATTTAATTTCTAGCACTGCACTTTTATTTTATTTAGTTAAAAATGATATTTTATGCCGTTTTTTAATGTTAGGATTTTTGTATGTCTACAGAATGGAGGATAGGTTCCAGGAAGAACTTGGAAGCATCCTTAATTTGTATATGGGGCCAAGACTAGAGGAGCTGAGATAGGCAGCTGGGGGGATTAGTTAACTATAAATTCTACTGCCAAGCACTTTTTAAGGAGTGCCACATTTTGGACTACCTCTGAGACATTGGAGAGGATATACCATTCAGACTTTATACCGTGGATCCAAGAGAGGGACCACTCAATAATAATTCCTTCCTTTGTTAATGTGTATCACCATGATTCATGAAAAAGTCCTGTAAAATCTTTTTTTCTTCCATTATTATTTTGTAAGAACGGTTTAATTTAAATCCGTTAATAATAAATACAAATATGTGTTCTTTGCTTAACTACATTGTTTGTGTTTTTTTTTTTTTGTTTTGTTTTTTTTTAGGGTTTGCTTACCAACCTGACTCTTGATGGAGAAATTCTGGCTAACTGGACAATGTATCCCTTAGATATAGATAGTGCAGTAATCAGTGGACATTTGCTGAAAACATCTCTGAACACATCGAATAGTACATCACCAACATTTTACAAAGGCAGCTTTCTTATTCCCAGTGGCATTCCAGACTTGCCTCAGGACACATTTATTAAATTTCCTGGATGGACAAAGGTAAAGGTTTTATTGACTTTCATGTTATAATGTCCATGTTATTTCATTATGACACCAAGAACTGTGGCGTTGGAAATAGTATACAATTGATTTAAATTTTTGAAGCCCCAGTATATCATCTCAGCAATGTTATAGCATAGGATATGTTAAAGTAGATATATAGGCAAAACTTTTTTTTTTTTTTCATTTTAGATAGAACAAGGGAGGGTTATAACCCCTGTCAGATTTTGTTTCGCCATCTGTGTCCCATTTCACAGACTTCCCTTTACTTCTTCTCCCATAGCCAAACAGGAAGTCCCTGCAAATTAAGGGAATTTCTTGGGGGACCCCCAGCTCACCAGAACTAGTGTCCCCATTGGATGATTTGCCTTCTATTACTTTTCTGTAGACAACCCAAATTGAAATTTTCTTTTACTTTCACTTTCAATGATAAAGGTAAAATACAGAGAGTGAATCTCTATAACTAGGGCACTGACAGCAATAAAAATGGACAGGTGTTCTAGTTCCTCTCCACTTTATCCAAAAAAAAAAAAAAAAAAAAAAGGTTTTGCCTTTCAGTTATGCTTCGCCAGGTTTTCTTGATTTGCCATTGAAGGGCACAGATAGCAGAAAGACCTGATCGCTGCAGTAGTTGACATTTATTGACTAGAAAAGGCAACAGAGCTGTTACTTAAAGTGGCTGTAAACTCAGATCTGATCCTTTGAGCTGTGTGGAGGGGGGGTGTCTCTTCCCTCCAATCAGCTGTCAGAACTCCTTTCACTGAGCTCTACAGAGTGTAATTTCAGCTCTGCATCCCCTTTTTTCTAAACTCTCAGGCAAGTTTTATATATTCAGCACTTTGAACTGATGTAGAGAAGAGAAAACTGCAGATAAAAAAGTACAACTTCTGTAGGAGGATTTGTCATCTGTGGCCAGTCACTTCACTTGGATATACGTAAGGGTTTACAACTACTTTAAGTTTGCTTTTTTATGTGTTGATTTCTGAAAGTGAAAGCCAAAAAAGGAGTGTGGTTCCCCGCAAAATAGCCCTTTACTATGTATTCACCATTGAACATGTTTTAGAATTTGTTATAGAGGGCTGACTGATATATGGTATAAGAGATGTGGTAACTTCTGGGAAAGACAAGAAATTAACCGCATGCCACCTGCACATTGAGACAGTGAAAGTGATTTCACATTTGTTGTGTTTCCTTCTTTTGATAATTCATTTTCCATGGTCAGGTTTTAAGGTTAGTCTGACACCCAGGAAGTTAGGCATCTCCTCTGCCTTAACCTTTGCCACTAAGCTGAGGGTAACTTTTAGGTTATGCTTACATCCTTTAGAATTCTGTTGAAGCTAGATCAATGTATACTAATATTGTGTGCGGTGAGAGGCTGGAATATGGCATTCCTTCTGAATTGCAAAAATACAAGCAGGTTGCACAATGCAGAGAGAACCCAGTTTGGACTCTTCTGTAGCTCAAGATCCTCTGTCCTAAGATCAGTATGGGACAAAAAGGCTGCATCCCAAAAGAGAAAATGAGGATGCAGAGGAGTAGCAAGAAGAAAAAATAATCGGCTTCAACCCAAACCAAAAAAGTGAAACATTTTAGTAAAGATATTAAACCTAAGATCAGTAAAGACAGACGTCAGATTTCATTCAGTTCTTTAGAAATGTCAAGTTCTATCTATAAACTAATACAAAATTGACATCTGCCTTGAGGTCCTCACTGATTTTAGTGGTAATCAGAAACTAAAACCCACTTTTTAATTGTATATCACAGGACACAGGGGACTTCATAATTATGTCTATTCAGAGTTATGTTGCTGTCTTCAGGTGAATGGATACTGACCAAAACAGACAGGAAACCCCACCCAGGCATAAGCCTTTCCAGCTTGGCTCAGCCTCAGTTTTTTATCTAGTATCTTTAGGTGATGAATGTGTCTACAGCTGTCTCTCTGAAGATCTCTTTTTAAAGGCCTTTTTTCCAGAATTGCTGGCCTGTTCATAACACCCCTGCTGGAGTAGAAGAGGGCCTTATCTAGATTGGCTGCTATTGCCTGATGTCCAAGATAGCCAAGAGGGATTGTATTCTGGCCAAGCACGCAAGAACGGGGATGGCTTTGTAATGTTATTGGTGCGCACTGGATGCAGTTGGCAGCAATCTTTGGGGTACAGTATATCAGTTGACCTCATTGGCAGGGTGCTTTACAGGTCCAGGGCTGTGATCCTCCTTGCATGCCATTGCTGAGTCTGTCATCCACTAAGACCCCCAGATCTTTTTTATCCTGGATTTCCCCCGAAGTTTTCCCCCTCGAGAGTAACTTGCGTTAGTATTTTTAGCCCCCAAGTGCATTACTTTACATTTTTCAATAGTAAACCTCATTTGCCATGTATTTGCCCACTGCTTTATTTTATTGAGGTCTTCTTGTAAAGTTTCTATATCTTCCTGTGATGTAATTGCCCTGCTTAGCTTTGTATCATCAGCAAAAACTGAGATTGAGCTATTTATAAAAACCTCTATATCATTTATGAGTAAATAGAATTGGTCCCAGGACAGAGCCCAGGGGTACCCCACTTACCACTCCAGACCAGTATGAATACATGCTATTTATCACCATCCTGTAACTATTTTTCTATCCATGTACAAACCCTGTGGTCCATGCCTATAGTCCTCAGTTTTTTAAATTAATTGTTTATGGGGAACTGTATCAAATGCTTTAGCAAAATCCAGGTACGCCACATCCGCAGGTTTTACTTTATCTAGTTGGCAGCTCACATCCTCATAGAATGTTAACAGATTGGTTTGTCAAGAACGACCTTTCGTAAAGCCATGCTGATACTTTTTTCATCAGCAAATCTTGGATATAGTCCCTTATCATCCCTCCAATGATTTTCATACTATCGATGTTGACTGACTGTCCTATAGTTTCCAGAAATATATCTGCCCTTTAAATATTGGTACCTTTTTGGCTCTTCGCCAATCAGCTGGTACTATCCTGTCAATATGCTGTCCTTAAAAATTAGGAACAGCGGTCTTGCCAGACTGAGTTCTTTGAGGACTCTTGGGTGTAAGCCATCTGGTCTTGGAGATTTATTTGTGTTAAGCTTTTCAAGTCTTTTTCGGACACTAGTTTCTGATTCCCTTGTCACAGACTAATGCTTTCCATGTATAGGACAATTTTCAGACAAAATCAGCCTCTTTCAACTTATGTGTAATTGCAAGTCCTGGACAAATGGATTATTGCAACCCATTACCCATTGTCTCTGTTGAAGATGAGACGTGATCAAAACTGTTTACTTTGCTTTAAAAAAACAAATTGAATACTGTCCATTATGTTTTTTTGCACTAATATTCAAATTTTTAGAACACGATTTTCAGGGTTTAATCTCTCTTTAAGTAATACTTTGGAATAAGGAGGGTACATCCTGAAAGCTTGTCCTGAAAATGTAAATGTTAGTGCAAACGTATAAAAAAAAAGTTTTAATTTTTTTACAAGTGCACTAGGGGCCATTCACATGTAAACAGATATGCCACATAGTACAATTACAGCAGTTTACTATGTGGTAGCTGTCCGATCTGATTGCAGTGAGCCGGCGGTAGGGGGCAGTGTGGTGTGCGATTCAGCCCATCACACAGCTCCTTTTTTTTTTTCAAACAAACCTTATTTGAAGTGCACTGCACTGCTCTACAGTGACGTGTGATCCTGTCCAGTGCACTGCAATAAAATTCAGCAAGTTTGCATTTTATCGCAGATCACTGCAGCACAGCTCTGGGCTGCATTGCAGTGTAAATAGGACACAGAACACAATAGCATAGTATATCAATAAAACCAAGCGATTGGTTGTCGGATTATTATTATTATACAGTATTTATAAAGCGCCAATAGTTCGCTCAGCGCTGTACATTACAAAGATTGACAGAACATGTGACAGAACAATACCAATACAATGCAAAACATGAGGGGATCGAGGGCCCTGCTCTTTTGAGCTTACAATCTAGGAGGGAGGGAGGGGATGGTGGCACAGGAGGAGATAGCTGTGGGGAATGGAGCGGTAGGACGAGTGGAGGAGGTCGGCAGGTTAGCAGGGGGTGGGGTAGGCTTCCCTAAAGAGATGGGTTTTCAGGGTGCACCTAAAGGAGAGGAGAGTAGGTGATAATCTGATGGGTTGGGGCAGGGAGTTCCAGAGGATGGGTGACACCCTAGAGAAGTCCTGGAGGTGGGCATGGGAGGAGGAGACCAGGGAACTAGAGAGAAGGAGGTCTTGTGAGGAGCAGAGTGTGCGTGCTGGGCGGTACTTGGATATTAGGTCAGTGATGTAGTTCGGGGCAGTATGGTGGACAGCTTTGTACGTCAGTGTTAGGATTTTGAATTTGATCCGTTGCACAATTGGAGCCCAGTGGAGGGATTGGCAGAGGGGGGTGGCAGAAACGGAGCGGTTGGAAAGGTGAATGAGTCTGGCAGCCGTATTCCGGATCTACTGAAGCGGGGATAGCCAGCGGCGAGGCAGGCCAGTGAGGAGGGAGTTGCAGTAGTCGAGTCGTGATATGATGAGGGAGTGGATGAGCTGTTTAGTGGTTTCGGGGGTTAGGAACGTGCGGATTTTGGCGATGTTGCGGAGGTGGAGTCTGCACAAGTTTGTTAAAGATTGGACTTGGGGCTGGAAGGATAGGTTGGAGTACAGAATGACTCTGGCTGCGGGGCGGGTTTGATGGTGGCGTTGTTGGATGTGATGGAGAAGTAGGCTCTTCTGTGATGGATTAGAATGACATCTAGACTTGAATGCCATCAAAGGCACTTTCCAGTCATGTTTTCTAGTTAGAGATGGATCTGCAGGTAATTAAATCTTTCTGAGCCTGGAATATGATGCGAATCTCTGAGTTGCTGAAAGGACCGAATACCTCACACAGTCAAGACGGAACAGACAGCCTTGTGTTTGTGGGCTTGCCACCAACTGTAGCTTTGGGGATTTTCCATCCCTGGATAACAAAGTATTTGCAACAGGGGAAGGTGCGAAGATATCAACCTGGCTGAGTACTTTGAGACCCATTCCACCAGCGAGTGTAACAGAATTGGATTGAGCACCATCAGGGGAGGGATCCAAAGCATAGAGGAAAGAGGAATGTAGTTTGTGTCCAATATATCAATAAAGGTCTATTTAGGTTCCAGAGGCACAGAGTTGGGTCAGAGGTGCAAGCTGTATTCCAATTGGTGATCATTTATGCTGCTTCTAATAAGCACACATTAGTGCTTCTCATAAAGCCTTAATTACGTGGAGAAATTCAGGATAAATGGCATAATATCATTTATTTCAGGTACTTAGTGCTGTCAATTTATGCAGCTCCTTACATATGTATTATACATTCACATCAATCCCTGCCCTCAAGGAGCTTACAATCTAAGGTCTCTAACTCACATTCATACATATACATATTAGGGCCAATTTGGACAGGAGCCAGTTAACCTACCAGCATGTCTTTTTGTGTGTGAGGAAACCGGTGTACCTGGAGGAAACCCATGCAGTCACAGGAAGAACATACAGACTCCATGCAGGTAGTGCTGTGGTTGGGATTCAAACCAACGACCCTAATGCTTCTTGTCAGAAGTGTTAACCACTTAGTCAGTGAGCTGTCATTTAGCATAGGCATTTCAGAGAGTGTATTATTTGTTTCATTCATTTTTCTTCTTGATTTTATAGGGACAGATTTGGATCAATGGCTTCAATCTGGGACGCTACTGGCCAGCTAGAGGACCTCAAGTGACATTATATGTTCCTATGCACATTTTAACGACATCTTCATTGAATAATGTCACAGTATTGGAGCTTGAACATTCTCCTTGTGATACCGGAAAATGCATTGTAGAATTTGTGGACAGGCCAATTCTTTCCAAAAGTAAAACCTTTATTAGACAGGAACAAATCTTTAAAAGAACGTGACTGCCCAAGGTAATCCTGTTCCCCATGAAGGAAATGTCCAAAAAATTACTTCTATATACTTTGTATTCCCAGTGTGGTATCTAGAATCCACGTAACACTGAATGGTGAATGTCTGACAAAAGACTGATCATATTATGCTTGTAACACTTAAGTGAAAAATCAAATAATTCTCAGGTGATTTTTTTTTTACTCTATACAGATTTATTCGACCTCTAAATAAAGTATTCATGTCTGAATTGATGTTTTAATGTGGTCCGTAACAAGAACATAGACATTGATGAAAGCATGTAAACACAAATACGATGGAGAAAGGGGACATCATAGTGATTTTGTGAGAAAATTAATGTATTGATGCAGAATCACAGTTTCAGCAATGATGGTGACATACTGTAATTCATGATTAACTCATGCCACATCCCAAGACTAAAATTTAAAGCCCAACTCTATCTGCAACTAAAACAGTTTTTGCAAGATTAGGAAAAGATTAGAAACCTCTATAAGAAAAACTTTTGGAGGCACAAAGAGATATAAAAACCTTAGTGAGAAGATACAAATATTACTTCTATCTGCTTGTTATTGTTTTGCTTTTAATTTTTTTTTGTTAGCTGCTTATCGGGGTTAATAGAGGGTGAGCGCAAAATGGTGTATATATAGTATATTTGTATATTTACGGGGGTCACCTGGCACCGGGCTCTTTCATTTCTCAGAGAGCTCCAGATTTCTGCAGTCCCCTGAATATACTTGGTCCTCTCTTTCCCAGTATCATGGACTTGCTTAGCTGCCTTGACCCTCTCAGTCCTGTGGATAAGGAATCTCTCCTCCAATATGGAGTGCTGTCTCGAGATTGGAGCACCCATCCTAACAGGAGCCCACACCTGTCCCCTTAAGGGTGTATGTTTACCTCCTTGATGGAGCATATACTTGTCTCCTGAAGGGAGCCCAGAGCTATGCCTAGGCCCTTCATAATAAGGGCTGTGCACATCTGCACTCACAGCTGGATGGTCCTCTGCAGGACCTGGACAATGGGTTGGATAGTTCTTCCTTCCCAAAGCATTTTGAAATCTCCAAACTCCAAAGCCCAATCTGGGAATACCAAAACCCAGACAAAGCTCTAAAAACCATTTTCTTGAGATTAACACGGACTTTCAGGAGTCTCGCACTTTGCATTCATGCAAATCCAGTGTCCTTTTTGCCTACTTTTACAGTGTCAAAGCCTCGCACTGTTACATACCCTCCTTCCCCCATTTTTTCGATACAGAACACATGAGCCTGTACCCTTCTTTGGGACACCTCTGTGCCAGCTGTCAGCCATGTAGGCCCAACCTTTTTTCCCTGTATGTTTTCAGAACCGCCCTTCCTGAACCGGGTCCCACTGATCTTTGTACCGAGCCTTCTTCCTCTTCTCATAGGGTCCATGGGCTTATCCTCATTTCCTCTAGGGGTACTCTGGCTTCCCTGACACTTGTAATAACACCCGACATTTGTGGCTTTCCAGCTTCATCAACCTATTTGTGGTTACCCACAGCATTCAAATCATCATTTAATGTAACATTCCTTACCAGATTACAATCTTCCATCTTGCAGTTACCGGAACTGTTTGCAGTCTTTTTCACAGTGTCTCCAGGTACCTTAAACCAGGAGCGTATATACTGTGAGGCAAACAAGGCGTTTTGCCTAGGCCGGCAATTTTTAGGCCATGTAGGGTCACCATCAGAGGGGTACCACCAGTACTCCTGTAGGTGGCCCGGACAGCAGGAGGATTGGTGTGGTGGGGAGAGCAGTTGCAGAAGGATGCCCTTTGTATTTCTGCCTCCAGCAGCTGAAAGCCGATTTGAGGTTTCTCTCTGGCTTTCTGCTGCTGGAGGGAGAGACAGAACTGGCCAGATGCAGGGGGTGCCCTGGTGTTCCTGAGTGGCTGCTCTACGCTGAGCTTTTTCCCCCACCTGCACTCAGAGCCAGGACCAGGGGAACACCCGGAGGAGGTGAGCTGTTTTGTGTTCTCTGAGCTCTCCCTCCTGTAGTCCATCCAGCACATGATACATAATCACTGACAGATCATATGTGACTGCACACACACAGTATGATTACCACCCCCTGCCCACATTTCCTGTAGACCTTGGAGGAGGAGGGGGGGGGGGGGGGGTAATCATACTGGTGTGTGTGTGCGCAGTCCCATACGATGGGAGAGAGGAAAGAGACAGAGAGGGAGGGGAGAGAGAATCATATATACATACACACTTATTGAACTCTTGCTCTCTCGGAGGGGAGCAGCACAAAAGTTTTGCGTTGCCTAGGGCAGCACACAATATAAATACACCACTGCTTTAAACCATACCTCTTTGTGGGTGACTGACAGAATCTCTGCCACTGTCGCATCCATTTTCGGACCTCCCTTCTTAGGCGGTCTGGCGAGTGAGGGAGTATACGCGCCCTGCATCAACCAGTTCTCAGTCTGACTTTGGACCACACCAGCAGAAATGTGCCTTGTCACACCATCAGGTGATGAGACATCTGATATGTCTATAATTTCCATTTTTTATGACCGTTCACCTGAATACTTTCCATACACAATGGTACCTGGAAGCACCCAAGCAGGGAACTGTGAAACCATTTTTCTGTCAAACACTGTATCAAACAGTTCCACTTTTGACCAGTCTTAACCACCTCCTAGTGTTACTGTGCAGTACCAGTTCATCCAACCGAGGAGGAAACAACATGGTATACAACGCATGTGCCTTTAAGATTTCAAGCATTTCCATAATAGATTGGTCAACTGAAGTCACTTCAAGTCTATACGCAGGACATCCTTAGGGGCTTTTCCCTTATTAGGAAATGGGAGGTGGAGGGGCTCATTTGTTGAGGCTCAAGAGGCCAAGACGTTTTAAGGGACTTCCTTGCCACAAGAGGTAGCTGACACCACATCCTGCTGTTCCTCTAGAGTGCTGCTAGGTGTGTGTCCCACAAAAGTCCTTCCAGTTCAACCATAGAAAAAAAAAAAGTTATAATGCTATACCCACAAATGATCCAGAGGAAGGCAAAAAAAAAAAAAACCCCCAGCAAAGCAAGATCAAATTTGCTCCTGGCAAAAGCAACTTGTCCAAACATTTCACAGAAGGACTACAAACAATGGGATAATCTTAAATTATGTTCAACCTATAAGGCCACAGAGCGGCTCTTTCCACATAAAGCAACATTTAAAAACAGTACAGTGGTGACTTCGATCAGGAGAGGGAAAGAACCAGGTGGCAGACCGCAGAAAATCAGTTAGTAGAGAGACTGGATCAGTTACCCAACCATAACGGCGCATTCAAGATGTGGCTGAACCAGTGTTTTTAAAGAGTATCACACACTAAGGAGCGCAGCTTATTGAAGTTGCCTGTGGCTCCACTTTTGTGTTTGAGCACCGGCTTCAGTGGCCTCCACATTCCTGAGACAGCAGTTTCAATCTATAACAACTTATACCTTTCCCTATTCTGGTGGCCAAGAGTGGGGTTTGTGGACACTGCTCTGCCCTTTGCGGTCCTCTCCAGATCCATGCTCACTTATCCACACAGTGTCACTTTTGTAAACGTACTTTAATCCTCAATAAATGCTCATACAAGTTTTTATATGCTACACTATGGGTTTTGTGCCTTGTTTTTATTTTCTTTTTTCAGTGTCCCACTCTTATCCTCTGGTCCAGCATCAGTGAGCCATTCCAAGTAATTATTAGGCCTCCTTACCTTATCCAGGCTTCTCATGCTGATTCCTTTCCTATGCTGTGGCACTCCCGGAACCATGTTGCAAAGGACAACACCCCACACATCCCTTTCAGCCAGGGTGAATGTCGCCAGATGCTGTGAGCACCAGTCCATGTCAACTTCAAACTCCAGTGGATTCTCTAGCCTGGCCTTCACAGGTGGAGATATTCTCTCAATTACACACACGGAGACTTTCAGGTACATCACCACTTGCATGCAATGCCTGCTTTCTGGCTGCTCTGCACAGGGCACAAACAGTTCCTGACAGTTCCACTCTTTGTGCAAGGGTCTGGTTGATTGACAAACGGGTGCTTCCATGCCTGAGCAATTGTTCTAGTGGCTGACAAAACCAAATAAGAAGCCAACTTCTGCTGGTGAGCCAAGAGGCCTGGTATGGGACAATGAAGCAAAGCATACCGAGCATCCCGGCGTATGAAGAGATGGAACAAGGTGAAAAGGAGGCCAAACACACAAGACCAAAAACAAAACAGTCTCGTGGCATGACCTCCAGATATGCAATACATCACTACGATGGCCACAACCCCGAAAGCATCGATCACTGCAGGCAGGGTTCGCCTGGGCCAAATGAGCTGGAATCCAATACCAACAAAACAATACCCCATACCAAATGAGCTATGCCGCCTCCAGCGTGGTCGTATTAAATGAACATTTAGCTATAAGCGACCAGGCCCTATTCCAGTCCTCCAGATCCACGACTGCCCCCAGGTCGCACTCCCACTGAGCGACACATGAGAGAGAAGTATGCATCAAGCGTCTGTTCAAAGCTGCATAAAGAAGGGAAAAAAGGCCCAGGGTGCACAGATGCTGTTGGCAAAGCAGTTCAATGGCAGATTTCTGGTACGGGAAAGCAGAAGTGCCCTGCAGTGAGGTCAGCCAATGCTGCAATTGAAGGTAACGAAAAAATTCCGCCGGAGGGAAATCCCGTGACTCCCGAAGAGAATTCCAAGTGGGGAAGGACTGAGAAGTCAGAAAGTGTCGCACCTGCGAAAAACCATTGGCCACCCACCAAGAAAACGGGTTGAAAAACCCACCAAGAAAACCTCTCTTCCCACCCTTGGTTGATCTAAACCCGGTGGGAAGAGAGGGTTGTTAATAATTGGGAGCAAAGGTAGGAAAGGTGACATCAGGCCACTGGAGTAACGTACCGAGTCCCACACTTGTAAGCCATGGAGAAAAATTGGACTCAGTGGCATAGGGCAGGGGGAAGCCATAGAAGCGTCCATGTCGCAATAGGGGCAC